TCACTCTACCACTATCAAACGGGTCCTCTGTCTTGCTGTAATCCGACCCCATACCATAGCGCTGCCGCCGCCGAACCGATCTTCTTCCATGACACAATGATTGACGTAACGTTCACCTCGACGTCGGTACACTCGAATCCGTCCATCGCTGTGGCTGAGATGAAAACGAGACTCGTCAGTGAATAGAACTTGTCCCTACTGCATGGCCGTCCAACGTAGACGCTGTCTGCATCACTGTAGACGTGCTTGACGGTGGTTTCTTGTCAAAATGGGACGTTTGGCGGGTCTTCTTGCGACAATCCCTGCACATCTTAGGCGGCGACGTACAGTTTGTGAAGATATTCTTCGAAGGCCAGGGACGCTTCTTGCAGTCACCGTTACTGGCTGGAATAGATTTCGTAGGTGTGTTGTTCGAATTCAGTTGTCTTGTCGATTATTGGTTACGCGTGGCCCGCCACTCCGAGGATGGTCTCCGACTGCAATCGTCTGTTGCCAACGTTGCCATAAACACCAAATGGTGTTTCTGTGGACGTTAAATTGTCTTGCAACATCACGTTGACTCGATCCTGCTTCAAGCATACCAATGGTTCGCAGACGCTCATTTTCGGACATGCGTGGCAATTCGTAATGTTAAATAATTGCGTAATTCTGTTGTTGTTCTGAGTGTTGGTTGTCAGCACAATGCTAAACAATGCTTTTATACCCATTCTTAGGTAGTGAAATGCATGGGGCTTGCATAAAAGTCAACTTTTGCATGGAATGCATGCTTTTCTGTAGCAGTTGCGTTTTTGTGACTTGATTCCATACATGTACTACAATATTGAAAACCAAACTCTACTTGTTTGAAAAGTACACTAAAATATTGGTGTCAAAGGAACTTTTGTTGTTGTGTATAGTTATCATTTTCAGTTTCTGAGTCCCATGCAATTTCATGTGAAAAGTCCTACCATCTTCGAGGACCAATCTCTGGTTCCAAGGTTCACCTGCTTCTAGAAAGGCTCGTATCTTGACTTGACTTTCAAATCATATTTCGCAGGACTGTGACTCACAAACCAGTGGTTGAAATTATGATTATAACATTATGCTGTCCGGTTACAATGTCATACAATCACCGAGCCTGACCACCCTTCGACAAACAAAGGTTACCTGGGACTAATTCAACCTCAATCTCCACAGTGATATTTTCATTTCAATGTGTATCATGATGCAAGTGCTGATCTGTTTCTTTTTGCATATGAATTGGAGTTTCTGCTCGGATTGGCAAAGTCGAAACATAAAAGTTTAACTTTAGCTTCAGGTACATCGATGATCATATATCGTTCAATAACTATCAAATAGCCAAGTCCACTGATTTTCCCACCGGAATTCGAAATAATGCAGATCAGTGAGACCGCCCCATCTGTTTCATTTTTAGATATGTGCATACAAATTCAGAGTAATAAAAAAATTCCCAATGAGACTGTGTGACAAGAGGGATCACTTCAACTTTTGAAAAGTCAACTTTGTGTCGAGCAGTATTCCAGCAGATCCAGCCTTTGGTGTTTGCTTTTCACAACTTTCTAGTTACAAAGGCGTTCTCTTTTTACAAAGATGCGTCACGAGACTCTTGCTCAAAAGTCACATTCAAGGCCTCAGAAAAGCTTTCAAAACGTTTTGTGGCAGATATGTAGATGACATTTCCAAATTTGACGCAGTGACAAAAATGATGTCCGATGCAATTCCCAATTTTGACTAGTATCATATGTTCCCATGTTCAGGTGAACAATTGACTTGCGTTTGCATGTGTGTTCTTTTGGTGACGGGTGCCATCGATGGAATTGGATGCGCTCTCCGTTTCGCGAAAACCCGGTATCATCACTATTTGATAATGATTCATAAACACATGCGCATGAAACAGTTGGAATTGAAAAATCGACTCTGCTTTTAGCAGAGATTCTTGTGGCTATGGAAAGGGTTTTGTCGTTTTTATTTCAGCTCTTTCTTTTGATATTTGATATTGTTATGTGGCAGCATATATTGTAAGTTTATTTCTGAAGATTGTTAGTGGAAGCTGTTTGAAGTTTGTTGTAGAATATTTGGTTGAGGAGCAATGTCATCGTTTCCAGTCATGCATTATAGTCTCTATTGACGCCCTGTTTAGTTTTCAGTCACTCATGGGCTCCTTTTTGAAAATAGTTATCAACCACTTTTCAGTTTCTGAGTCACATGCAATTGCATGTGAAAAGTCCTACCATCTTCGAGGCTTCAGTGTATGTGCAGGACCAATTTCTGGTTCCAAGGTTCATCTGCTTCTAGAAAGGCTCGTATCTTGACTTGACTTTCAAATCATATTTCACAGGACTGTGACTCACAAACCAGTGGTTGAAATTATGATTATAACATTATGCTGTCCGGTTACAATGTCATACAATCACCGAGCTTGACCACCCTTCGACAAACAAAGGTTACCTGGGACTAATTCAACCTCAATCTCCACAGTGATATTTTCATTTCAATGTGTATCATGATGCAAGTGCTGATCTGTTTCTTTTTGCATATGAAGTGGAATTTCTGCTCGGATTCGCAGAGAGTTTATGAAACTGAAACTGAATCGCTGTGTTATTTTATATAATATTTTTCTGGCCTAATTTGCTTCAGAATGTTTTGCAAGACAGACCATGCATGTCAGCTGGTATCAAAACTTAATCGGAAAATTCCTTCTGATCCTTGAGAGCGGTTCTGTCGGGTCATAGTTGATTATGTTGATCACTTGGTTAAAGCAAAGTCTGGTAATCAGTTTTTGTTTGTTTTGTGGTTTACGCCACACAGTATTCCAGCTATATGACGGCAGTATATGTTGATATGTGAGCTTCGACCAGATTCCCTGAAGCGTTTCTTTTAAGTACTTTGCCAGTTATTGGTATGGCTTAAATAAAGGTCTTCCCCATAGTTGGCTTATCCAATGTAGTTCAGTCTGATCAATGGTCGAATGACAATGGTCAGTGTTAGGGCTGTTTTAGCAGGTTACGTATGTGTTGGAGTATGCGTTAGACAGCTCAAATATGGTGAGTCATAAGATGCACTGGTGCAATAAATTCTCTCCTAAGGTGCAGACACAGGTGACATATTGGGTATGGATGTCACAAAGTGTGGGACCATAATAGAAACCGCCTGCATCACAACCTAAAACATATATATATAACCTGAGACATTGTTCACTGAAACATTAGCACACTTGAGTCTTACAAAAGTTCTCCACGTCAAACATGTTATCCCGAGCTTAAGCACTAAGTTTTAGTAATATTTTAGCTAAAGGAGGAGAACCTTATCAGGAAGAGAACCTTAACACGTTGAAAATCGAACATGTCCTTTGGGCATGACGAACAAACGCTTAAACCACTAGGCTTCCAGCATCTTCCCCTTTACTGCCTTGATATAGTACGGGTGAAATCAATACATGCTCATATCATCAAAGATATTCTTTTTGTAATTCTACCCCCTCTCCAGAGGTAATGGAGCTCACAGATCTTCGTTCATGCATGTACAGCTGAATATAACTGTCCTCTGACCTTTTGTGTTCCTGAGTGTTCTGTACATTCTGCCACCAGGTTTATGATGTAATATGTTTGCTACAGTGTAACAGTGAAGCATAGAAATTTAATTGTTCCTAGTCATTTATATGCTGACTGTGTTTGTTATAAAATCACACTATTTACTGGTTTACTGTTTCTATTGATCTTGCGTTGTCTGTGTGCAATAAGTGGGAAACTGTCATGTAATGTTTTTTCACACCACGATGTTGTATAATGAAATGTTGAATACAACTTTTCTCTAGGCCGTGTTTCTTTGTTCTTGTGTCTGTCATAATGGTTGTACAAAACCAAGAACACACATGCATACTTTACCAAACACACAAAACATCCGTGTAAATTTCCCGAATCAATCTCAGTTATGAGACATACTTGATATTGCACTGGATTGGTTTGACATTATCATGTTGGGAAATGTTTTCACACGATGATTATCACACGCAGTTATCCTTCGAAACCCATTTATATACGTTTTCGGCCAACACTCACATTTGTTTTACAATGTTTGATAGCTCAGCTAAATAGCCATTGCGCTTTCCGCGATTGTCCGCTCGTTTTAATGTATTTAATATAAATAAATCTGTCAATGTATGGATGTTTGCATGCATCATTGTGGAATTCCATTAACCATTATCCCAAATAAATTTTAAAAAATGTTGCATTTCGCATCTCATAAAATTGTGTGAGAGGCCGGTGCTTACCCCTCGAATACCTGATTTTCAGTGATCCATTTATATGATTTTCATCACTATTTCGCATTTTACGCCCAATGTAATCTGTTGCGGCAGACAATCGAGACTTATTATACTCTATCATTGACGGTTTGACGGTACGCGTGTTTTAGAAATTCTTCGATACACTTGGCAGCAGGTTTCTGAATATTCTGATGTCTGATGCCAATTGCAAAACATACTGTTTTACTTTATTGCATTTCCAAGCCTTAAAGTAAAACAAGAACCTGGTAATGTGTACGTAGTTTGTGTGTTTTTTACTTGTTATGATTCCCCATTTGGGTATACTGTTGGAAGGTTAGAATGTTGCTAAAGTGGCGTAAAATGTTCACTCACTTTTATGTACACATATATCAGGTAATTCCGATAGGCTGCACGACGTCCAACATTCCTTTGTATAATATGTATATCCTTTTAATACGGAGCATGGTCGCCCAAGCAGCCGAAATTTGAAATGTTGAAATTGTAATTATGTCCGACTTCTCAACTTTGGAGCATTCATAGATACATGCTGAACAGCCTATGTTAATTAAACAATCTATTTTTGAGATATTACTTTAACTCCCTTGAACCCTTTTGAACGTTTAACAGTCAAATAGAAGTGTGTAGCGTTTCACGTTTAAAGTCTGAATTGAAATGTCATCTAGACCTAATTTTGATCATGCTATACTGCCACACTATCTTTTTTTGCATTATCTAGAGCAGTCTACGACTGCTATCCCCACTGATTACAGTTCAACGAAGATCATCCCTGAAGAAACTGTGCCAAACGCTCAGCCAATTGATGTCGGCATCATCATCGGCATCATCATCGGCATCATCATCGTCGTCATCATCATCGCTATTATAGTCTATCGACATAAAAGAAATACCCCATGTCCTAGGTAAGATATTTCTTTTGGAGTACATATCCCTTGAAGCAACCGTTTTGCAATATACTGTATTTTGTTGCAGAACAGTACAGTTATTCTGTCAAATGTAACGACCTTGAAGGTGTTTTGATAACTGACCACTCCCTAAGAAACACATATGATGCCACAAATAGAAAGGGATCACTAAAGTGTTACAGGAAATCAATGTAATCATTAATACCAGAGAAAGCTTGCAGATAAGCATGTTCATTAACAGTCAACGGGTTGAAGCGAATGTGTCCAACCACTAAGGAATTAACCTATCGCCACACTCAAATATCAGGCGAGAATAATATTGTCCACATGTACGTTTGTAATACATCGGCATGCTCCTAATAATATGACATGTTACATTCACGTTTTTCATCCATCACTGCATATAAAATAAAGTTAGTCAGTTTATTATTCCATATTTTTTATCGATACGCACTGTACAGAAACAATATTCAACATTCTTTATTGAACGTTGACCTGAATCTTTTTGACAAACTTTTGACAGACTATCTGATTGGTCAGTTATGTTATGTTGTTTGATTAACAGGTGTCACCTGGTGTCATCACTGAATATCAGTGATCCATTCATGCAATTTTCACCACTATTTTGCCTTTTCAGAACAATGGAATCTGATTCCACGGCTAATCGAAATTAATTTTGTTCTGGTGTTGACGCTTTAACTACAACACAATATTACAGAATTGAACTGTGAAGATGCAAGAAACACAAACACTCGCACCCACAGGGATTTTTATTAGATGATGTTGAGCGTTAATCACAATGTTCAATACAAACGTTGATAAGAACAATATTCATTCAGACATAGTCGTCGGTGAAGGAATTGAGTTGAAGAGCTGACGTTGAACGGTAAAAACGACTTCAAAATACAACTTCAAACTATGTTTACGTTCTAAGGCGTTATAATGAGGCAATTTCAGTCTCGTTATAAGACGACTATCTTTGTTTACATTTGTTTACGTTGAATACGTTGTTGGGTGAGGTTCAGTAAACTAAAATAGAAAGAAAATACAATCCTCACTGAACTAATTAAATAATCAATATTACCAATATAAAACAATAACAAATAACTTTCTGACAAGATACTTAAAACTGCTTACAACTGCAAAATAATTACTGAATTGAAGTTATAAATGCATTGAACACTTGATAAATAAAATAAAATTAACTTTGGCATTGAAAAATAGGAGTTTACTTACATTTGTGTTGCTTTACACTTTGGAGAATTTAACAGTGGTCCTAACAAGATGGAGATTTGATTGATTGTGAGGGGAACGTGTGCTTTTAAGATCATGTGACTTGAAATGAAAATTGAGGCTGTAAACAAGTTAATAATTTATCTGCAAAAGCTTATTGAGAAATGGGGATTTGAACTCACAATCTCTAGGTTTCAAAGGTCATGTGACATATTAGAACGAAACACTTTATCCACAAAGCCAAAGTGAGGAGGTTCAAATGAAAATAACTTTAAGTGGACCAAATATTTAACTTGGAAAAACCGTGTTTTTAAAAAAATAAAAGAAACTTAAGCCTTTAACAAAATAAAGAAAATGAACTTTAAACAAAACTCTTGAAACAGATGAAAAACACCATTTCTGCATTTACAAACTGTATTGGTGAAACAGTAATTTCACCGTTGTTTTTCTTGGTTTATTCACACAGCTGCCGTTGGTTAGTGAAGCCTATAATAGAAAAGCAGGGGTTGTTTTGTTGGTTCAAAAATAGTAAAATCTAATTTATGTCACACGTTATCATGTTTTGTGTTGACAGGAAGGAACAACCGAGACCAAAACGGGAAAACAACTTGCTGACTTGCCTGTTTAAAAGGTAGAAATTAAATAGTTCCTGATGCGTAAATTATTTTTATAAATCGTTTCAGTTAAGTTTGTATATCAACAACATTTTCGACAGGTCTTTAATCACTTTTAGCTCACCTTGGCATTTTGTCATTCCGTCATTCTGACCTACAATGTACGTGTACCTCATTGAGTAGCATATGCCACATTTCAGATTGGCCTGCATCAGGCAGGTTGTATTTATAGGCTGTTGTCCTCCAGTGTAACGTACAGTGCTGACTTTGTTGTGATTGAGAACATATTTTGCTTCCTCAATTATAAACCCTTTTAATAATCATAAGAGTGAGCGAGTGAGTATGGTTTGAACTAGCTTTTACCAATATTCCAGCAGTATCACGGCGGGGGACACCAGAAATGGGCTTCACACATTGTACCCATGTGGGGAATAGAACTCGGGCCTTCGGCGTTGTTGTGATCACAATTGATCGCAAGCTATTCACGATATTTTGGGCCATTTTGTATAAGGGACGAAGTTATTATTGTCGACAATATAGAAATAACCTGTGATTATATCAATATACTTAATGAACACATTACGCCTTCGTAATGAAAAATACCGTAAACTATGTAATGCTGTACAATGTATTGCTTGTTTCACAATTCAAAATAGCAAAATGCTAACATGACAACGTTTTTTTCTATTGTGTTAACAGATCAAGTCATACAACAGTTGACACCAGCAGCGATGATGAAACCTAAACATGCCTGTAGCCAACTCTGTCATCCATATCTGTCGGAGCATTCTGTATGGCGTTATACCTAGTATTACTTCTAACAGCGGTCCACGAATAGCAAGTGTTAGTTTCAAGCATACTCTCCGTTTGCGTGTAGTTTGGTGTTGTAGATTGCTTACAATTTTACGAGCGCTTCCGGTACAAAACATCCGAGTTCGGGGCGCCCTGCTAATGTTAGAGTTGGTGAGGATGAATAAAGACAGCAGGATATCCATGACAAACCTTAAGATGGATGCTGCTGGAATTATTGGTGTCATTTGGATGAGTGGGCTATTGGTTGTCAGTAGTGGGAGGAAATGTAGTAACATCTATGTAATTTGAGCCAGCTGCTTTGTAAGAGTATTATTAATCTTAATTTCAGGTTCTGTTTTAATAGGTTATTTACAAGGATTGTAGAATATGATAGTTATCAAAGACAAGAATAGCTCTAAGTATGTCCTAGTTTATCATGTAATTGATGATTTAGATGTACTGGACTCCCTTCATCTTTGAAGGATGATCTCTTCATATTACATTTAACATTAAACTTTTATGTTGATACCAGCATACATTACATAAGCCCAATCTACCTTGATATGTCCTGAAAGGTAACTTCGTGGATTTGCAGTTACAAGACTGTATGTAAAACTGTATGGCCAATGCAGATTTTCTGCCAGCATTGGTTCTGTAGCAGTGCCTGTCTCTGGACAGGTACAAAATCTAGGAGTGTATTTTGATTCAAGTATGAACAAGCAGGTCACCCATGTGTGCAAGTTGGCATCCCTCCATCTTCATCACATCGATAAGCTTAGGCGTTATATTTCAGTGGATCCAGCAAGAACGCTGGTATGAGCTCTTGTCATCTTCCGCCTAGATTATGCAGATTCTTTGCTGTAACGTATCTCATCATCACCATCACAAAGTCTTCAGGTTATCCAAAACCACAGCATCCAGAATCGTGACAAGATGCTCACGTAAACAACACATCTGTCCAGTAATCCGAGAACTTCACTGGCTTCCTGTTGCTGACAAAATTCATTTCAAACTTATCACTCTTTACAAGTGTTTGAAGACTGACTCAGCTCCTTCATATCTATCATCACTCCTCCAAAGTCACATTCCATCCCAACTCACAGATCTCAGGACAAAGACTTACTCATCAGACCTAAACCAAGAACAAAATATGGCGTCGCTCGTTCCAGTGTGCGTCATCTGTGCTTTGGAACAATCTTCCAATACAAATCAAGCCTGCATCCAGTCGCCAAGCTTTCTGCAAGGAACTAAAGGCACACCTTTTTTCTTCCACATAAACTGCTTCATGTACTTTGTTTAATCGCCTGTGAGACGCCAAGGTGGAACTCGGCGCTATATAAATAGATTATTTGTTTTCCCAGCCGAAAGCCCTCTTGTAATCGTTGGATGTATTATTTTTAACTCCATAGAAAACACAAAAAACAGTATTCCATAGCCCTAATAACCAAGGGCAGTTAATCCAAAAACAAGTACAGTTCAACTCAATTTCAATTCAATTTCTTTATTCAGCATAAAGGCCACAGGCCCATGTACAAATAAATATTGACATATAGAATATACATATTGGTGCAACATTAAACAAGTATTACACATGGAATGAACGTCATACAATAGCCTCTTTAATGTATTTACAGCATTGAAGTAAATCAGTGAGTTTGCCTGAGGTTATATGCTTGAATAACTGAAATTTACAATATATATTTGGAATGTGTTGTTGTCTGATATCATCATATATTGGACATGATAGCAAAAATGTAATTCGGTTTCAATGATGTTCTTACAAAAAGGACAAAATCTAAAACTATTACCAATGTACTATTACTTTTTTTCCAATATTCACCATGATATTTAATTCTCCAATTCTTGATAGTGATAACATTCTTCTTAGTTCTTTACAAGTGATTTTTAAAATATATGATTCAATAACAAATGCTGTTTTGAATGACGAATAAAATTCTAAATGTTTATAATCATTAACTTGCGAATGCCATGTTTGTATATAACAATCTTTAACTCTTTGTGAAAACCCACATATAAAATGAATCAGTATGAGCAACAGATTGATTTTCCCATACAAAACCCAAACCATATAAATACAAAATATTCTTAATGTTAGTAGCCCATATAACTCTTCCTAGTTGATCTAATCTATATATGATATTATAACATTGTCTAGGATATCTTTATTTGACATAGTGGTTAGATGACACCAATATTTCAAACAATGTACATAAGTCTCACAATACAATTTATAGCGTCCACATTCACCCCAAATAGCAACATTTGTACAAGATTTCCCGACACCAAGGAAATATTTACACAATTTAGTTTGTATGGCTTCTACAACATTCCAATGTGGGTTCCTCACATTTCTGAACAATAAAATAATATTGGTTATATTTGCATATCAAACATTTGAAACAATATTGGTAAAGGAAGGGAGTTAAGTTTAATGTGTGATTGCTTTATGGGAATAAGAGCTTTATTAGCTTTCTGGACTTAAGTTTTCACACATTTTGACCGTGATAATCGGTTTGAAAATACAACACCTAAATAACTATAATATGTTCATATCTTTATATGTACATCTTACTAAAACCATTTTTCAACATTTTTAAGTTTTCCAGCATTTTGGAAAACTAATATTTCAGTTTTATCAAAGTTAACTTTACAAAAAGAAGATAAAACATTAATTTTTCTTTGCAAACCAATAACTGAGTCATCAAATATACATAGATTATCAGCATACAACAATAAAAACAGATAATTAAAATCTTCTTCGACAAATATACCTCTACCGCCATACGTCTGTAATGAGTCTTCCAATTGATTGATAAACATAGAAAATAAAAGAGGACTCAAAACGCAACCTTGTCTAACTCCACTAAGACATTAGAACAAATCTGATAAAGAAAAGTTTTCAAGTTTCACACAAGCAATCGTTTTTGCATAAATATCACGTATCATATTCAACATCTTTCCATGTATACAATTTGTAGATAAAACATGCCATAGCCAATCTCTATTCACCGAATCAAAAGCCTTTTGAAAATCAACATATATACAGTACAGTGATTACATGTGTCTGCTGCTGTATGATCTTGACATTTTATGTTCTTGGATGCATTTTGCTATTGTTTAGGATGCATGTCTTCAAATCCTACTCCTTTGAACAAATTGGATGAAATGCTTCCGACTTTGTACGATTTGTCTCCATGCTCCATACATCAAGCTGTCGTAAGCGTTTTTGGATATCTGTTTTTGTTACGGCTCTATTAGATTTAATTCTGATTGCTTTTGTGCTCATAAACTTTACTTTAATATCATATTTTGTAAGGTTCTTTATAGAAAATATTAAAAGTTTGCTTGAAGTTTCTATTCGATTTTAATCCTGATCTACTCTTTCTCTGAAAGATATATTATTATCAATTATTCCGCCGATATTTTTACAAGAGATAATTCAATAGCAAGTCACTTGATCATGTTCAAATGTTTCACGTGTATGTAGTGAGTGAGTATGTGGGTTTTTAATGCCGCTTTGAACAGTATTGTGGGAGGAAAGCCCACAATGAAACCCACGAGCAAGGGTATGGTGCTGACAAACTAGAAAGATAATCGGCGCAAACCGGAATTCGAACCCACGATCATAGGATTCTGGCGTGCCCAAAGGACGCAACTCCGCAAAGCGAATTGCGGCGCCTTAGACGGATAGGACACAGGGGACCAATTTCGTGACAGGGCAGATAATACAAGAACAATTCATTTCTGAAACTGTCAAACTTTACATGTGTCTTCTGCTTTAGATGCATGACATTATAAATTCATTGACTGGGACACGTCTCAAACCATACTACTCTGAACCTACCACATCACATGCTTCCAAGCTTTCTAAAAATTGTCTCCATGCATTATACATCAAACTGTGTTAGCCGTTTTCTGATACATTTTTTGTTGCGGCCATATAAGATTTAACTTATGATCGATTTTATTCTCAAAAATATGTTGTAAGTTCTTTCATAAAAAAATATTAGAAGTGTGCATGAAGATGCGTGCGTGCGTGCTTTTTGTACATGCGTTTGTTTGTTCGAGCGTTATTCATGCTTGCGTTCGTACGTTTTTTCGTACGCCTGTGTGTGCGTTTGTGCGTGCACACGTATGTGCATTTGTTCGTGCATTTGTGCAAGAGTGCATATAAAGCATAATTTACATCACTACATGTAACTCCGATATGGAATCCAAGCAAACAAGGCCTTATGTTATCCCCTTAATGTCGAGCATGGTAATAGCAAGCACCATATTTTAACGAGGCGATCTGGTAATGAGTGAATCATAACAAGGAAGTGCTGGTATACGTATTTGACAAATCATGGTTAAGTATGCCCTCTTGTATTATTGAGCGTAAGTGAAATAGCTCATCATGGTCATCCAGAAAAGGTTCTGAATTTGTATGCAATAGGTGTGTTCATGTAACGGGGATATCAACCACAACCCAACAAGCAATCGTTGATGCGACGTGGCATCCCCTTATAAACCAAGTGTCATTTGATGCTATCTGTCCACTGAAGTACGACGTCTAGTTTGTCTGGGGACATTTCACATGAACAGCTTCTATTCGCCCAGTGCCTACATCGGCGATCGATATAAGCGTGGTCGACGAACACGCAGATGAGGTGCATCAAGTCTTTTCATACACCTGTAGGTGATTGACGATTTGATTGGCTACTTTTCTCGATTTCACAGAGCCTGCCCAGGCTGCTTATGTGCTGGAAAGGGTCGGTCTCTTGGGATTTAAATGGAATTTGTTCCACAATCAGATTCTGCTTCTCACAGAATGTAACACGATGAGGTTTTTTTAGGAAACTAAATGCCAAAGAGTCACCAAGCGACCATACATTCAGTGTATCATTCAGCAGTATTCAAGCTATGTAAATAAACAATTCTAGACCAGATAATTCAGTGAGTGATATTATGAGAGACGGGGTCCGATGACACCAGATCAAACAATTCGCGACGTTGTAACATGATATATGGATTAGTAAGTTGTTTTTGGACATTAACGTGTTACATCTAGGCCTTGTGAAATAATCACAATCAAGTTTTGATTTTTTATTCGAACACACGATCATCGGATCCTGGTACGGTTTCAGGGCGCAGCTGTACACAGCGAGTACATAAAGAACAATGTGTTAATTCTCATATCTAATGTGTTATATATTAAGTTTGAAGTAGATAAAGAGAAACATTAATCAATAGTTTCTATGCATGCGTGAGTTGTTTCCCTGTTACCAATTGTGAATGCATGGGTTTAATAAGTTATTTGAGCAGTAGTTCAGTTATATCACGGCTTGTCAACTTAATGTGGAAGGAAAGACCAAGGTAATGCAAGTCTCTCCACGTTTACCCACGTTTACACGGGTATGGTGTCGACAGCCTTAGAATTTCTGTGAGGGCGAATCTGAGATAATTGGGTTATGGCACTGTTTCGATACAGAAAAGTGAATTACGGCGCTTTGGACGACTTGACCACTCGTGACCCTCTAATAAAAATGTCCAGTTTTATGTGTATAGTGTATCTGATCAATGAAAATATAACGATAAAACAGCTATGTGTTTGTAGCATCATCAGAAAATTAGATAACATGTTAATGTAAAACAGGCTGAACTAAAATGTCACCTGTGCATGTGTGCAGTGACTGATATTGTGAGCAACGATGACATGACCTAAGGTTGCACCTGGTACAGTGGTACTCTGAGGAGGAAGTTGAAGGGTGGAGAGACGTGTAGATGTAGAACTGAACCCCTCCCATATGGTTGCACCTGCTGCTGTGATCCTCTGTAGAGGAAGCTGTTGGCGGAGAGACGTGTAGATAAGAAACGTTCCCCTCACAACAGGCTGCACCTGCTGCTGTGATCCTCCGTAGAGGAAGCTGTTGGCGGAGAGACGTGTAGATATGAAACTGTCCCCCTCACATTAGGCTGCAGCTGCCGCTGTGATTCTCTATAGAGGAAGCTGTTGGTAAAGCGACGTGTAGATATGAAACTGTCCCCTCACAATAGGCTGCACCTGCTGCTGTGATCCTCTGTAGAGGAAGCTGTTGGTAGATCGACGTGTAGATATGAAACTGTCACCTCACAATAGGCTGCACCTGCTGCTGTGATCCTCCGTAGAGGAAGCTGTTGGCGGAGAGACGTGTAGATATGAAACTGAACCCCTCCCATATGGCTGCACCTGCTGCTGTGATCCTCTGTAGAGGAAGCTGTTGGCGGAGAGACGTGTAGATATGAAACTGTCCCCTCACAACAGGCTGCAGCTGCTGCTGTGATCCTCCGTAGAGGAAGCTGTTGGCGGAGAGACGTGTAGATATGAAACTGTCCCCCTCACATTAGGCTGCAGCTGCCGCTATGATTCTCTATAGAGGAAGCTGTTGGTAAAGCGACGTGTAGATATGAACCTGTCCCCTCACAATAGGCTGCACCTGCTGCTGTGATCCTCTGTAGAGGAAGCTGTTGGTGGAGAGACGTGTAGATATGAAACTGTCCCCTCACAATAGGCTGCACCTGCTGCTGTGATCCTCTGTAGAGGAAGCTGTTGGCGGAGAGACGTGTAGATATGAAACTGTCCCCCTCACATTAGGCTACAGCTGCTGCTGTGATTCTCTATAGAGGAAGCTGTTGGTGGAGAGACGTGTAGATATGAAACTGTCCCCTCACAATAGGCTGCAGCTGCTGCTGTGATTCTCTATAGAGGAAGCTGTTGGTGGAGAGACGTGTAGATAAGAAACTGTCCCCTCACAATAGGCTGCAGCTGCTGCTGTGATCCTCTGTAGAGGAAGCTGTTGGTGGAGAGACGTGTAGATATGAAACTGTCCCCCTCACATTAGGCTGCAGCTGCTGCTGTGATCCTCTGTAGAGGTAGCTGTTGGTGGAGAGACGTGTAGATATGAAACTGTCCCCTCACAATAGGCTGCACCTGCTGCTGTGATCCTCTGTAGAGGAAGCTGTTGGTGGAGAGGCGTGGAGATATGAAACTGTCCCCTCACAATAGGCTGCACCTGCTGCTGTGATCCTCTGTAGAGGAAGCTGTTGGTGGAGAGACTTGTAGATATGAAACTGTCCCCCTCACATTAGGCTGAAGCTGCTGCTGTGATCCTCTGTAGAGGTAGCTGTTGGTGGAGAGACGTGTAGATATGAAACTGTCCCCTCACAATAGGCTGCACCTGCTGCTGTGATCCTCTGTAGAGGAAGCTGTTGGTGGAGAGACTTGTAGATATGAAACTGTCCCCCTCACAATAGGCTGCATCTGCTGCTGTGATCCTCTGTAGAGGTAGCTGTTGGTGGAGAGACTTGTAGATATGAAACTGTCCCCTCACAATAGGCTGCACCTGCTGCTGTGATTCTCTATAGAGGAAGCTGTTGGTGGAGAGAAATGTAGATATGAAACTGTCCCCTCACAATAGGCTGCACCTGCTGCTGTGATCCTCTGTAGAGGAAGCTGTTGGTGGAGAGACTTGTAGATATAAAACTGTTCCCTCACAATAGGCTGCACCTGCTGCTGTGATCCTCTGTAGAGGAAGCTGTTGGTGGAGAGACTTGTAGATATAAAACTGTTCCCTCACAATAGGCTGCACCTGCTGCTGTGATCCTCTGTAGAGGATAAGTTGTTGGTGGAGAGACGTGGATATATGAAACTGTCCCCTTACAATAGGCTGCACCTGCTGCTGTGATCCTCTGTAGAGGAAGCTGTTGGTGGAGAGACGTGTAGATATGAAACTGTTCCCTCACAATAGGCTGCACCTGCTTCTGTGATCCTCTGTAGAGGAAGCTGTTGGTGGAGAGACTTGTAGACATGAAACTGTCCCCCTCACAATAGGCTGCATCTGCTGCTGTGATCCTCTGTAGAGGTAGCTGTTGGTGGAGAGACGTGTAGATATGAAACTGTCCCCTCACAATAGGCTGCACCTGCTGCTGTGATTCTCTATAGAGGAAGCTGTTGGTGGAGAGACGTGTAGATAAGAAACTGTCCCATCACAATAGGCTGCAGCTGCTGCTGTGATCCTCTGTAGAGGAAGCTGTTGGTGGAAAGACTTGTAGATATGAAACTGTTCCCTCACAATAGGCTGCACCTGCTGCTGTGATCCTCTGTAGAGGAAGCTGTTGGTGGAGAGACGTGGAGATATGAAACTGTCCCCTTACAATAGGCTGCACCTGCTGCTGTGATCCTCTGTAGAGGAAGCTGTTGGTGGAGAGACGTGTAGATATAAAACTGTTCCCTCACAATAGGCTGCACCTGCTGCTGTGATCCTCTGTAGAGGAAGCTGTTGGTGGAGAGACGTGGAGATATGAAACTGTCCCCCTTACAATAGGCTGCACCTGCTG